TTTTTTGGGGGGGTTCTGATCCAAGCTACCTGATGATGGCAGTAATGCACTGTTAAGTGCGGTTGCCAGTAAACAAAAGAAGAAGAAGAAGAAAATAAAATAAAAAAACTATTTTAAAAAAGTGATTTACTTAATTCAGTCATTCATTCATTTATAAACCCGCATAACTGCACATTAATCCTTATTTCACTTTCCTTCGACATCACTTAGTCACCCTTTATCAAAATGGGAAGGATATAAAACTTAAATATATAGTTCTGAGTTGACCTCACCATTGTTTTATGGCATTATTTAATCAGTGCTATGTTTTAATGGCCTTTTGACTGTGATGACATCATCTGAAAACAAATATTGTTTTAGATAAAGTCAAATATGAGTAAAATGTTATTATTTTATTTAGTTTGACCTACATTTTAACTTTAAAGCTCAGCATGTTTAATGTTTTATTAAAAACAAGCCTGATTTGAGAAAAACAGAAAGATAAATGGAAGATTTTTTTTTTTTGGCAACCCAAGATTCACAGAATTAATTTTTTTTTATCATTAATAACCTTACATTTATTTATTCTCTGTTATACTTAAAGCAAGCAGGGAATCCTTTCCCGACCGGCTCAATAAAAACAGCATGCACATCTTATAATGTGAATACAGCATGTCAAGGCACACTATACTCTCAATGCAATGCATTCAAGCAGAAAAAAAAGAAGTAAATTCAGTTCCAAAATACAATCTTCAGAGGTAATTATTTTTCTAAGATAAGCTATAAATACATATCTCAAATAACTACATTCACACAGTATTTATTTCATATTCAGAATTAAAGGCAGGCATTTTTATATTCAGACTCAACGAAATCTGCATTAGATGCAACTACCCAGTTCAATTATTTGAAAAAAAAAAGAAAAAAAAAGATTGTATAATGTGTTTCTGATGAACAGAGTCGGGTAACAGCAGTCATGATTTATGTTAAACACACATTTCTTGTCAGCTTTAAATATAACCGTGCTTTGCATATTTCTTATATGGATTAGAGCTATCGAAACACATAAAACATGCAAATTGCGAAACCACTTAAATCACTGACAGCATCACTACCTGTGGCTCAAAAGCCCTTTTGTGTATAGATTCATAAATTACTTTCAGACACATTTTTTAGCATTCACCACAGCACATTCCTTAATAAACACAAATAATAAACTCCCCTTTTGATCTAATACCCTTGTTGCTGCTCCATTTGCAAGTTGTTCAAGGCAGTTATTTATACCATTTACTTCATTTTAACACTAAATCCACTTTAACAATGAAGACTGAAATATCTGAAAAGGCTAAAACTGTAAAAAGGTAGCAAAGCAGCAGAGATGTCATAAAAGAACATCACAGGTCAGTTTAAGATATAAATTCAACAATCATTTAAAGAGTGCAAATCCTTTGATCATTAAAGTGTAGCAAATAGCATGCTTACCTCTCACTGACCTTTA